TGTAATATCAAGTTTTATGTCTCTTTGTTTCAAAAAATTCTAAAGAAAACTTTGTTTATAGTGAATAAAAAACCACTTTCGAATAAGCTTTAGACAGGGATTCTATGTTAAACGTTTCAACTTTGAAGTGGATCTCGATTTTTAATCCCGCAACGAGTACTGAGCTTCAAAGTATATATGTTCAGAACACTAAAACAAGCTTATTCTGTAAGTTTCAGAAAAATCTAAAGAAAATGGATTTTTCGGAGAACGTCTTTAATGGCGCCGGGCGGCGGGCGCCCACCTCCAAGTAATAATAGGAGGTAGGGATGGGCGATGCTTCATCAATTATACAAAAATCGCTGTTTTTTCCGCTCAATAATCGATGCTTGATTCGATGTTCAAGAATTCGATTAATCGGTACATTGATCTTTTTTAATGATATCGATTATGGTTGGCTCTCGTTGATCTACCCAAAGATATAACTATCCAAGAGTTCTAGATTTATTAGATACTAGAGAGGCAGTCCCTAGCAGGCATTTAATTTATTTATGAAACAATTTTTTCATTACTAGTAAATATTTTTGGTAACCAAGAAATTGCTTTCTGAAATAAAAATCATATTTGATAAAAAGTAATCAATGTACGGTTTTAGGAGGGCTCCAATTGCACACATCGCATATTGCACATATATCGCTGATTGGCCAATCTAAAAATAAAATAATCTCATTGGCTAAACAGTAAAAAATTACTAGGCACCAGTTGATATGAGTGGTGTGTACAATCAGAACTGTAAGCAAACGGGATCCTCTCATTAATTCTTATCAAGAATTAAGAATCAATAAATTACAATTCAAGGAAATGTTTATGAAACAAGTAAACTTTTTTTTCTGTGGAGGTACATAGAATTGTACTCTATTTCTTTTTTTATTTTGTGATAAAAATAATTTTAAAAATTATAATTCAATATATTTCTAAAAATTAATAATAAAAATAAAATAAAATTTAGCAAGCAGTTTTTTTTAATGATCGATTTTACCAACATCGATGTTTCTCCTACGATGAATCGGTTAATTAAAAATCGGATTGGATCATAATCGATTATTATGGGATCGATGCTTTTCTTGTACATCGCCCATCTCTATACATACTTTGCATCAATTGGTGGAGGTATTCCAAAAAAAGATTTAACATCTTACAAGTTACAAGCTTTTCAAAATTATTTTTAAACTTTACAGGTATTTATAAATATTGTATATCAAAATTTTTATCAAATAAAATATATTTAAAAAATAAAGTTTATTATTATTTTTGTTGCTTTTTAAATAAAATATATAAAATTAATAATATAATATTTGAGGGAAAATTAACAACAATGCAGTGTTTAGCATTCGTCGACTAAGTACCGAGACACTACCGTGTCTCCAGATGCTGAAAACAGAACAAAATGATAGAAATTGGTTTGCGGGTGCGTTCTAATATCACTTAATTCATCAAAATTACACTTGAACAGACTCGAAACACACTCTGACTCTGCTCCCGAGCAGAGGCGAAGTGTGTCGATTGAGTTTGAACAAAATTGTAAATGGAAAGCGATGTGTGTCGATTTGTGTCAAGTGTGTCGACTGTGTCTCCTAAAAGGAAAGCAGCCAATATCTCGTTAACTATTGCGCAACCTACAAAATGGTATAAGAATTTTTGATTCAATTCGGTCCGTTCTACCTGCTCGAGATCGATTACCTGATAATTTTCAAACACCCTGTATATGTATATATACATTTATATACACATATAAGTAGAATATATATTTATGAAAATGGAATTTTTCTTATTGCCAGAATTAGTAGAGACTAGAGACGGTAGTGTCTCGACGCTAAGACCAAGAACAGCGACACTACCGTGTTACGTTACGCAAACCGGCGATTTGCGGGGTAATTTTTTATTCAACTTTTATTATTTCAGGTATATTATGTTGTACTTTATTGAAAATCGTGATTTTATGATTTTATGTTATTTATATCATTAAATTCATAATGTCGTATTCAAATTTCGCGGTTGCATTTGGACCCAAATATGATTGGTTGTTCTATTATGCCATAAAGGCCCGTCTACAATACACGGAGTAAGAAGTAAGAGTAAGAAATTGACCAATCACAGTCGAATGTGAGAAGAATAATCGATTGTGAT